ATGGTAAATACACTGTATATCATGATCTTAAAAGAATACATTTTTCAATTGCTAATCTATCTCTCAACTCATTTCCTAATAATACTATTCCTTTTTTGCATAAAACATTTTAATTATTAACAAGCAAAGAATTATTTTAATGCAATAGAATTTAAAAAAACAACCTACAGTTTATTCATCCAACTTGTAAAGGTAATACTTAAAATATGACCCAATAATATAAAATCATAAGTGATATTTTTGACATTACGTTTATTTTAAAAATAGCAAAATACTTCTACTTCCTATTTTCCTTGTATACCTTTGGAGAAGACTAGAACAGATATATATTAGCATTAAGATCAATCATCTCATATATCTTAAGAATCATATATTGCATTTCTATAGAAACTTTACTACTACTATTACTAATTTACTAATACTATAGCAAATTTGTGACTATGATAATGTAAATTTTAAATTACAACAAAGTAAATGTTATTATACATTCAGAATAAGATTAAAATAAATAACTACAGAAATAATTTAACATTCTATGGAGCACATACTATGTGGCAGATTCTAAGAACACAAAAATAAATAAAAAGTAGTCCCTGCCGTTAAGAAGTTCACAGTCTAAAGGGGAAAGTAAAAAAATAAAACAATTTAATACAGTTTGACAGCTCTGAGAATGGTATAAACAAAGAAATATAGAAATCTCAAGAGGGTCACTTAATCCTTAACTGCAGTTAAGGGCTGGTCAAGGTGCTGAATTTTGGAAAAAAGTTTCCAAGAAAAGAATTAATGATGGATGAGAGGAAGCACATTCCAGGTATATCAGGCAGCAAAGTAAGGAATTTCATATTTAGGGAACTGCAGATAGTTTGGTATAACTGAAAGTTATAGGGTGGGATAGTTGTGAGAGAAAAAGCTAGAAAGATAGGCCAGACCACATTATTAAAGGCATTATAGGCTTTGCTAGGGAATTTTGAATTCTACTTGCATGCAGTATGGAGCTTAAGTTAGGGGTGACCTGCTAATGTGGGGGTTTTAGAAAGATGATTCTACCAAGAGTAAGAAGGAACCAGAGGCAGAATCACCAGCTTAGATGTTTCTATAGTAATTCCAACTTCAAATAAGAATAAGAATTAAGTATTGAAGAGAAAGAAAGAAGGAGAAGGGTTGGATCACTTAGGTATTGGATGATACAGGAAGAACTGATGGTTGACTGGACATGGAAAATGATGGAGAAAGGTAAAAACTGTGACCATCAAGAAGCACCAGTCATTCATTAAGGTAGAGACTAGAGGAAGACCAATTAGTTTTGTGAGATAATGAATTTTGATTCTGGTGTTTGTGATTTAGCTAACACTGCCACAGATAGTGGTTTATGTGTTTCTGAAGCATAATGAGGAGATCTAATCTTGTCTCAGGAACACTGACATCATCTAACAATGGTAGTTGACACGAAGAGTTGACAGCATCACCTAGGATTTTCAGAATATAAAAGATGAAAGGAGAATAGTTTGAACTTTAGGGAACACTGACATGTAATGAATAGACAAAGGTAAGGGAGACCTTGAAGAAAACCGGAACACTTTAGAGAAGGCAAAGAAAAATCCAAGATAGTCTAGCCTTAAACCTTGGAGGAAAGAGTTACAAGAACTGAGTGCTTATATGTGTCAAATGCATTAACAACTAAGACACTCAATGGATTTGGCAGTTAAATCACTTGTACCATGGATACAACAGTTTCAAGCATGTGGAAAATGGTCACACTACAGCAGGTTGAAAAATGAATGATGGAATCAGAAGCAAGAAGCTTTTTATGAGGACATAAAATGAGAAGCACTAAAGACAATGCATTGTATGATATCTTAAAAACTAAGATATTCATGTAAACCACAAATATCACATACTTGAAAACAGACAAAGGAAACTACATCAAGTAAGACTTCTAATGCAAAGGCTGAAACTCAATTTGAATTAGTTCAGCACAGCAGACAGGGAATGACTGGAACCATGGTCTTTTAAAACATTTTCTTTGGCGGTACTGGGGATTGAACCCAGGGTCTTTGAACTGAACTATATCCCCTATCCTTTTTATTTTTTTACTTTGAGACAAGGACTTGCCAAGTTGGCAAGTTGGACTAAGTTGTCCAGGCTGGGCTCAAACTTGTGATCCTCCTGTCTCAGCCTCTCAGAGTGCTGGGATTACAAGCGTGGGGTCTTGAATACAAACACGCCTCTCTGCAGCTATTTCTTTTTCCTGTTGGCTCTACATTCTCTTACTGAAGATCGATTTTCTGGGAGGGAACAGTTTCATTCACTAATGAGAAAAGGGCCTCTGTATGAGATTCTGGAAGAGGGTGATTTGGCTCATGTTCCTAACCCTAGACTAAACCTAGAGGTTGGGAGAGACAGGATGTCAAAAATACCATAATGGAAAAGAAATGAGAAGAGCAATTCTCCCTAGTTAGGTGATCTCTATTAACAGACAAAGTATGGCAGGACTGCTCCTTGGGAGTTGTCCATGGCAGACTTACTATCTTTCTCCTTCCATAGGTTGTTGCCTCTCCCTAATCCTTTTATATTTCTTCTCTTTTGCCTGGCATCCTAAATTCTAAAGAGAAATCTCACTTAAGTGATTAAGATGTTACCTGATAAATCCAGTATCTAGAATATCTGATGATGTAAATCCTTTCCTTAGTCTAAGTATCTAAGTTGATGTGCTTTAACTTGCAGAAAAGTGACGTATATTTAAAAAGAACTATAGAAGCTAGCCCCAGGAGGTTGAGGTCCATTGCAATATTTCAGAGAAGAAAAAAATGTGTCACATACTCTGGATGACGACCCCCCAACCCCCAGCCACATGGAGCTTTCCTGCCCTGTTCCTCCTTTCTATCTCTATAAAAGCTCTTTGTGCTCCTGAGCCCCAGAAGATGGAGCTCTAAAGTTGATAGCCATTCTATCTTCTCAGCCCTTGAATAAACCTGATTCCTTCCCATCAGTTCTTTTTTAAAAATTAATTTTATTGGTACATTTTAGGTATACAATATAATGACATTCATCATTGGAAATCTGAGCCTTTACATAGTCTCTCTTGGTTCTTATTTTTTCCCCATTCCCCTTTCCTCCCTTCAACCTCTCCATCCCTCCCTATTTACAAAGACTTTGTTTCCATTTTTTCCTTTTCTCATATTAATTCCATTTCCTTCTTTCCTTTCCCCTACCCCTCCCACTTCCCCTTCCCCTTTGCCCCTTTTCTTCCTATTTCACATTATCTATTATACAATCAGTTCTTATGTTCTGAGAATTGGCCTTCAAGTAGTGAGCAGCCCAGACCCATGCTGGTAACAAATTGTGAAGGAAGTAAGGAGGTTGGACAAAGTCAATCCTTATTCATTAAAATAATAGATAATAATGTATATGTACAAATGCTGCTGTACATAGATACTATTCAGTAAAATGCTTTAATGGGCTTGATTTTCCCTGTACTTTCAAAATTTCAAAGTGCTTTCTTAGTATCTCTTATTAAATAAGATTAGTAGGATATCTTTTTTTCTAATTACATTTTTATTAAGAAGGCATGGGCAGAAGAGAATGCTGTTGTGTCTAGAAATTAGACTTTATGACTAGTAGGAGAAACTGGTATAGAAGACATAGGAAAAGATGGGCTAGCAGTCTTCAAATATTTAAATACAATCATATAGAAGAAGTTCTAGAGAAAAGAACCAGGACTACAGTGAGGTGGTCTTCCGTTCAATGAGGAAGAATTTCAAATGATCAGAGTAATTCTAGAGTACAATAGGACTGTTTTGTGACATACTAGAGATCCTATTACTAGAAGTGTTTGAACTTGGGGTGGCTGACATATGTGTTTCAGTGAGGGAAGTTACTGAATAGCTCTGAAAGCTGGATAGCCTGATTTTTAAGTCCTCTTCTAATTTTAAGAAGATAGGAGATAATAAATCATCCTCTGGATTCTTATTTGCCGTACTACAGAACACATTTTAAGAAAATCTCATACAAACTAAAATCTTTTGTAGACATTTTTTGCTATGGTGCTTACCAGAGTCAGAACTGTAATTTGGGAGGGGAGTAGGGAGTACTGTATCATCTGCTTTTATGAAAAAGAGAAAAGTTGAAATAAAGGTTCCTGGAAAGTTATAAACTGTAACAAAGTCAAGTGTTAAGGTTTCTCTAGAATAATCTTTTTTTTTTCTTGGTACTGGGATCGATCTCGGGACCTTCCACTTGCGAGGCAGGCGGTGGCTCTCTTGAATAATTTTTTATTATGGACATGAAAAAAAGGAGCTGAAAGTCCTTTGTTTTGGTATCTACAAAGAGTACACTAGATGGTGCTATTAGGCTGTGAGAAAGAGTTAATAAGTGAGATGTGTGGCAGTTCTGAAGGTAAAATGGAAAACTGGAAACTTCTCATGAATTTTCAGGCCCTCAGGATCATCTCAGGTTTGTGGGAAAGTAATAAAATATTAATCTGATGAACTTTGACCCTAAAATTGGATTACTTTTAACCTAAACCACAAGTTTAACGTAATTTAAAATAATTTCACTGTTTGACAATTCAGACTGATTCCACCGAAATGGAAATTTTAGCTATGAAATGTGAATTTATTATTAATTTAAACAAATTCCTATTCTTTTTACTTAGCTAGTCCTCTAAAGCTAGTTACATCTATTCTTGATAGATATTAAAAAATAGTTTCTTCAAGTTGCTTGCTAAATTTTAAAAATTATTTTTAAACAGAAAACACTAAGCTCGGTTGTTTAAATTATTGCAATATACTAACACAAATACATGAAACAATACATTTTGAAATCATTCTATCAGTATATTCTTATGAAAATAACATTCCATGATTTTTCACAAGACAGCAAAACCATAAAAATATTTTTTACTAAAGTGCAAAATAAATATAAAGCTTTACTTTAATAATATTTTCTTTTCAATGTTAAATATTTAAAAGGTGGAGAAAATGTATAGATAAAAATACATGTTTTGCACCCTGAATCATTTTAATTTTAAACTCTCAGAGTTACAAGATGTTTATGATTTTTTCACTTATCTCTCCAGTTCTGCTTCAAGAATTTCCCCCCATGTATCTGCATCCATTGGGCACATGATTTTCTCTGGTAGGCTAATGGGAGAACAGATGTTGCTGTATCTGCCACTTAGCCATTCGTATTTCACTTTACTCTTCTGGTAATTCCTCAGTAGTATTACCTGAAAGGAAAAGAACCATCATCACTGAAAAACAATGTGGCAGGTTGTTGGTTAGTGAATTTGTCTAAAACTAGAGAAATTAACTCACAAGGCTACAAGGAAGATTATACACATATATCAATGAATATATTAATACACATATATTATACACATATTAATGAACTGATATGCATGTGTGTATATGTATGTATGTATATCCATGTAAATACAGAGAATAAGCCACAGAATTTACTGGAGGTTTTCAATAAGGTGGAGTGACAAGAAACAGCTACTTTCACTTAACAGAGGAACACTTCTTAATGTGGGATTTGAAAAATATATGACAGATGTGAGATAATGTGGATAAGTGTTTAGCAGGGAAAGACTAATAACACAAATTTACTCATTCTCCAGTCAACATATTCTGTTTATCTGCATATGTAATCCTACCATCTCCAAAGTAAACATGCTCTGTTTGTTTTTCTACATATCTAATCTTCCCTTCACCAAAGTCAACATACTCTGTATGTTGTATACTCTGCATTTGTAATCCTACCTCCTCAAAGCAGAAGTGCCTCAAAATTGCTAACATGACATCATCAAAAGCAATGTAAACTATAAAGGTTAAGCTTACCCTCCAGGGATATCCATTTTCTAGGTCATTATCGATTTCTCTTCGGCACACAGCTCTGACAGTCAAGCAGTGAGGTTTCCATAAGGAGTCACTGTTTCTTATTGTGTGATTCCAGCTCCTGCATGTCACTGAAGCTCTGCACAAACTCTGAATGTCTAGCTGACTGAAAATTTTAAAAGTGACTTCTAGAGGTAGCAGTTCAACGAAGTTATTTTGACTCTCACTTTTTTCCTTCTCAGCATCCACAAAGTTCAATTCTATGTCACAAACTCTCAATTTATTGTTCCTTTTGGAATTTTTCTGCATAGCTTGATGTTTTAGTAAGTTATCCTCATTTGTAATCTAAAAAGCAAATTTAAACATACTCAAGTTTCTTCAGATTGGACAGTAAATTTTACTCTGAATCTGATATTTTTTTGGCCATGATTTAAATAGTTTTCCAATCTATAAAACTGGGCAAACGCTGCTTCTCTTTTGTGTGTTCTTGTAAAGATTGACAGGAATAATTATAAAATATGTAGCCTCATCTCTGAATTGTACATGGGAGTGTTCTTTTTGAACATTTTAAGCAAATGAGCTTGTTTCTAATTTTTTTGTTTCTAAAGAAATTATCTAAAATAGGAAAATATTCTTCATGTTAGACCCATATTTACTGAGTTTAATAATAATGACTGCTATGGGAACATATTCAAGTACTTACTGCAAGTACTTCTGAAAATGTGGATGAATCAATCAGATTAAACTCCTTGCCATTAAATTCATCTGTAATAAACCTGCTGGACTTTTAATAAAAAGAATTGTGAAATTAATTATACCTTATGGATAGGTAGTCACATTCAACACAAATACTACCTAAAATGGACAAAAAGATGAGATCCCAGTTATAAAGGCACAAAGTTTCAAGTATGCAATTCTAAGATCAGTGTTTTAGAAAGGGTCCCTTGAAGCTATCCCATACATAGTTAATCATGAGCTAAAGATAAGTTACTGAAACTATCACAGAAGTAACAAGTATAAACAAAAATATACAATGTAATTTTGTTACCTATAACGTGTGACTAATGATTTCAAGTGCAGTTTCAGCTAATTTATTCAAGGCATGTTGGTGTAGGCTTCTCAATCAGGGTAACCATAGCTGTGAACATCACCACCCTTGAACTACTTTTGCATATAAAGACAGCTTGTATTTACTTAAAATCAGTTTATAACATTTTGCTCTTCCTTTTAAAATGAGGGATTAGGGTGTAACAGAGGGACTTAAAACACAGCTACTTTTTTTTAAATTGGCTGTTAACAGTTCCCTTTTCTACAAGTGATAGTCGCTTATGTTTCTGGTCTTGCCAAGACCACGGTGGCTTGCATTCATTAGGTTATGATCCAAATTAGTTGTGGTAGTTGTACAGTAATTGTAATGTCTGTGTTCAACAAAGGACTTCCTCTTGAGCGTCTGGTAAAGAAAGCAACTCGGTAAACACAAGAACGTAAATCAAGAACAAGTTCTTGCCACACCCCTTTCCTCTCCCACCATCATTACAAACCAAAGCCAAACTATCATGCTCTTGAATCTCATAAGAGAATACTGCACTGCAGTTAAAGATTTGCTACTTCTCCCAGGATCTCACTGGAGAATAAAATTTTTCCTCGAGTCAAAAGAGTTCCACGTCGCGTCAAAAGAAACGGAGGCGGACGAAAGCTTTTGATTTTAAGTGGAGATGCGGTGGGCAGGTTTCTTAAAATCTCACTAGAAATTTTCCACGTTCAGTTTCGACCAGATGTCTGGAAAACTGCTCCCTTTCTGCCCCTTTTCATTTGTTTACCAATTTTTGCTCAACTGTCCCTCCAGTAGGTGAGATTCCCTTTCAAGTGTCACAGGAGGGAGGGGTCGGAGGGGCAGGCGCCGGTCGGCTAGACTAGGTCTCAGTGAGCCCCGCACCCCGTCTGGATCCCCCAAGGTCGGGGTAACGATCCCGCGGTCCCATACAGGCCGCCTTTCTAGCGTGGTCTGTGTGGACTGCAGCCACCCAAGTCCCAAGAACTCAAGCACTGACAACTGAACAAAAACAACCGCTGGTATCCCCGTGGCTCCAGGCCGCTGAGGGAAGGCTGCGCTTGCGTCGGGACCGCCCTACGCTTCGGGCGTTGGAGGCCAACGCAATAAGAGAAGGAAGACCCTCCTACCTGTTGTGTCCGTAGGACTTCTCCTCCCGCGATTTAAATTCTCCGGGATTTGAGACCTTCCCCATAATCCTTCATGTCCCACCCACTTTGGCCCCGCCCTGGTCACGCGATTCGCACAGGCGCAGAGGGGCGGCGCAGTGCCTTCTGGGATTGGTAGTTTTCTTAAGGCATTTTAGTTTGGCAAATGAGGAGGAATGAAAGCATCAGGGACTCCAAGATCCAGCGTCCCATGAAGCCTGTGGGCGGTGAGAAGGGTGGTGAGGGGGAGAAGCCCGGGCTTTCAAACAGAAATTTGGAGGCGGTCTGAGTGGGGGAATCCCCGAACGCGTCAGTGGCGCAGGTGGAGGGCGGGACTTCGAGTGTGGGGCTGGGAAGCTTAGTCCGGTAGGACTGCTCTCACCCTAGCAGAGTTGGGAATCCCCCTCCCCCCGTGTTTCTTCGGGGCTTGGGCTTGCCCCGTGCTTCTGTGGAAGGCGGAAAGAACTGCAGGGGCGGTCTTCTCAAGAAGGAACGTAACCCTTGCCTGCCATGTCTGGGGGCTTCGAGCTGCAGCCGCAGGACGGCGGCCCCCGGGTGGCCCTGGCGTCCGGGGAGACGGTGATTGGCCGCGGGCCGTTGCTAGGAGTAAGTGTGGGAAGAGGCTCGGGCGGACCCCGCGGATCTGCAGGATCCTTGCTAGGTCCGAAGTCCTTTCGAACCGGAATCGATTTCCCACCAGCCAGTCCTGCCCGTCTGGATTGTAGAAGTTTGAGGCAGCACATTTTACAATCAACTTTAGTCAACTCACAAACATTTCGTTATGTTGCCTTTAAAAAGCGCTGACTGTACAGTCATCATTATCACTTTATCCAGGGGTTGTCAAACTAGGTCAGTGGGGCCAAATCCAGCTCTTGTTTGTGTGGCTCATCAGCTAAGTAGTTCTTCGGTTTTAAAATGTAAAATGTAAAAAAGATCTATTAACTTTTCTTGACATATAGTTACTCCAAGGGTTGAGATTATTGCTTCTAGGCCTGTAAGCCTAAAATGTTTACAGTAGCACCTGGCTCATTACAGCAAAAGGTTTGTCCACCCCTGATCTTTTTTTTTTTTTGGTACTGGGGCTCGAACCCCTGATCTTATCTCCCCTAGGCTAATTTCTTTTTAAGCTTTGACTTTCTTTGAAGGACCAGGTAGGCCCTACTTTTATTATAATGTCATTTTTAGTAATATCAGTAGCCAACCCTTAAGTAGAATGTGACAACTGTCCCAGTCACTGGCATAAGGACACTTCTTATGCATCAACTAATAATGCTTTTTTAAAAAACCCTATGAACCAGGTGCTTTTATTATCCCCATTGTTCAGACAAGAAAATTGAACCATAAATAGGTTATTTAAAGCTTTTGGGTGCACATTGCCACAACGCCATATATTCTGTATCCTTTTGGGAGGATTAGGAGTTAGAAAATTGGCAAATTGCTTTTGGAATTCTATGTATCTCTCCCTTAACTACATCTGTGTGAGTGCATGTACGTTTCCCCTAACATTCAGTATTTCTTACATAATGCTCGCTTTGTAGAGAACATTTCGCAGATCTTAGCACTGTGGAGCTTACAAAGATGAATGGGGTATGGGGTTCCTGTCTTGTAGGAATTTTCTCTTGGACAGTTTATACAGACCTGTGGCAGCTGATACCAGAGAGTAAAGAGCGCTGATTAATTTTCTGATTAACTTCCATTGTCTGAATGGAACCATTAGTTCCTGGCAGCAGGAAAGGGAGAACTGGTTTTAAGGTTCTTAGGGAAATTGGTCCTAAGGGTGCATGTATGTATGTGTATAAATACATATGTATATGTAGTAAGGTTACTGAGAAAGAAGTTCACATTGCTGTTTTGGGTTTTTTTTCTTTCTTTCTGGGCAAGTGATTATTTAAATGTTTGGATAACATCTTATTACTTTTCTCCAGGTTTTTTTTTTTTCTTTGTGGTACCAGAGATTGAGCTCAGGACCTTGCGCTTGCCAGGCAGGCACGGTGCCACTGAGCTACATCCCTGGCCCTACTTTCCTCCAGTTTGCTAGCCTATACAAACATTTGAAGGAACTCCTGGGAGGTGTTTTGTTTTGTTTTTGATATGGAGGTTAGGAACTTGATGAAATATCTGTTTCATCCAGTAATCATATGCCTGTTATTAAAAAGCTTTGACTTGCTTAAGAAGTTGTGTCACCCATACAGAGTACTGTGGGTTTGGTTAAAAGATAGATGGATTTTTGGCCTGTGTTTTTATAAACTTGACAGCAGCTTGCGGACCTTTTCATTATTTGTAGCTTATTTTTTGTGTAATGTGTGGTATCTGTTTTTAAAAATGACAAATAGAACGTTGGTCAATTATCTTGTCAGGATTTTGCTTTCCTTTTGTGTGTGTGTGTGTGTGTGTGTGTGTGTGTGTGTGTGTGTGGTACTAGGGATTGAACCCCTAGCTAGCCTTTTTTATTATTATTTTTTAAAATTTTGAGTCAGAGTCTGCTTAAGTCCCAAAGTTGTCTGGGCTGGGTTTGAATTTTCAGTCCTCCTACTTCAGTCTCCCAGAGTGCTGGGATCACAGGTGTGCACCACTATACTATGGCTTTGTTTTTTTACACAGTCATTCAGTAATGAGATTCTGTCATGAAGTTTGACAGATATTAGAGGTGTTTATGAACAACATCCTAAATGTATTGAAAGAAAAATTTGAAAAACAAGCACATCACTTTGTGACTTTTAGATGCTGGAGCTGACACATGTACTTGTTTCTTCTCTGTGGTGTGTACTAATAGTGGTGGCATATACCTGTAATCTCAGTTACTTGGAGGCAGAAGCAAGAGGATTACAAGTTGGAGAGCAGCCTGCATGACATTATCTCAAAAAATAAAAAGCGTTGGAGCTGTAGCTCAGTTTTAAAGTGTCACTGGATGTGATGCTCAGTATTGCGCAAACAAGAAAAAAAAACAACCCACAACATGAGAGCTGCTCTTTCAAACAACAGCAATTCCAGTGAGATTTTCTGTAGTTCAGAGAGCAAAGACAGTTCTAAGTGGAAAACTCAGGAAGTTCATTGTGAATTCATATCTATCTGAAATATTAATAAGGATGACTTTTGAACTCACTTAACTAGCTATATTTTTCTGACTCAAACTGCCCAAGTTTGATTGCTCTACAATATGTACAATGGTCTTGATAGTAAAACATTTTGATGGTGAGAACGTCTTTATATCTTTACAGTGGCAGGAAAACACAGCAAAGAAACATCACAGAGAACAAAGCATAGTGAAATTCAATCTTTGTTATAAACATTCCTTTAAAAAATATATTAGTTTTTAAAAGTCAGCATCACTTTATAGAGTAGTTGTAGGTTCAAAGCAAAACTGAATGAAAAGCCCAGAGGTCGCATGTGGCCCCTGGCCCCGTACATGCACAGCCTTCTCCACTATCAACATCTCACACCAGTGTGGTAGATTTATTACAATAGATGAATCTACATTAAAAAAATATCACCCAAAGTCTACAGCTTATACTAGAGTTCACTCCTGGTATTGGACATTCTGTGGGCTCTGATAAATATGTGATGACATGTACCCACCATTGCAGTATCATACAAAATGGTTTTACTGCTCTAAAAATCCTCTGTTTCTGCACATTTATCCCTTCTCTCCCCAACTCCCGACATCTGCTGAAATTTCTACTGTTGCTATGGTTTTACCTTTTCTATAGTGTCATATTGTTAAAATCGTATGGTAAAAAACCTTTTCCGATTTCATTTAGCTATATACATTGAAGGTTCCTCCATGTCTTTTCATAGCTTGATGGCTTATTTCTTTTTAGTGATGATATTTTATTGTCTAAATGTATTACAGGTAATACATTTACTTACTGAAAATCATTTTGTTTGCTTCTGAGTTTTAGCAGTTAGAGATAATGCTGCTATAAACATCCAGTGTAGGTTTTTATGTGGATGTCGATTCTATTTTTGAAACAGGGTCTCACTATGCAGTTCATCTTGGCCTTGAACTCACTATATACCCCAGGCTGGCCTTGAACTCACAGCAATCTTCTGCTTCAGCCTCTTGAGTGTTGGGATTAGAGCTGTGCTCCACCATGCCCGGCTTGAATCTAAGTTGACTTGTTCGGGTAGATGCTAAGGAGTACAATTGCTGGGTAATGTCATAAGAGTGTGTTAAGTTTTATAAGAAACTGCCAAACTGTCTTTCAAAGTGGCCATACTATTTGCATTCCCACCAACAATGAATGAGAGCTCCTTTTGCTTCATATCCTTTCAGCATTTGTATTTGTCAGGGATTTAGATTTTGTCTGTTTCAATATATGTCTAATAAATTGCTTTTCATATAATCTCCAAGGGGAGATTGAAACCCAGTTTTGTGATAAGATCTGCTTATGTTTTCACTCCCAATGTTGCCTTGTAACAGTATGTTAATGAAGATGGTATTCTTGCACTTTATACAATTCACTGTACAAGTAGCATTGCAAGCCAAACAGGTTTTGGTGAGTAGAAATTTTAATGGCACCAAGCCTGCAGAATTCTGTCATATTGGCTAACAATTCAGCAGACTTGAAGTAGTAGCTCAGAAGGTGTTAAGTTTTACTTTATAAAATTGAAATTATCCATATTTCATCAGAATTATATATTAAATAGGTATATATGAGGTAGCCCGAAAAACCTAACTACAATTTATACCATTGTTCTTATGGGAAAGTATATTCATAAATTCCAAAGAACATTTCATATCCAGCATATTAATACCTTTTCAAAGTTTGTTAGTAAGTTGGAGTCTACATGGAGAGCCTCTGGTCAAAGTCCAGTCTCTTTCTTCAAACTTGCCCTATCTTAATGTCAGAAATTGGATTTTGGTGCATTCCAAGTACAGTAATGTTAAACATCTCATATCAACTAACTTACCTGCTGAGGTATATGACTAACTTCTCATCAGATGTTATGGCAGCATTTTAGTGTTGATCACTGAGCTCTGAGTAAACGCTGGACCTGATGCTGGGCAGCCCCACAGGTAGGAAGGTTTCACAGTTTCAGTCTGAATTCAATTTTATTTACTTGTTACACATACAACACACAAAATATAAGGAAGGCTCTTATGCAAATTATACCTAAAACAGAGCCCATGTTTCTTTGCTAGGTTTATGTATTTTTCCATAACACTGGCTCAAACCTCATACTATTTTTGGTTTTTCTTTACCATAAAAATTTAAATTTTTCTTTTTTATTTGTAGTTCATAGAGCAAACTAGAAATCTTCTGGGAAGCCACTATAAATTACAAAGTATTATACAAGATAATTTTTATTGTCTTAGTCCTTGGTGTATAATACACAGTAGTTTATGCTAAAAAAAAGCCTTGCTTATTTTCTTTTCTTATGTTTTTACGAATCAGGCTCAATAGGAACATTGAATTCATGAAATATACCTGCTTATGATATTCAGAACCTTATCTAGGAAATCATCTTAAGAAAAATTAACTGGTGTTGGTTTTTCAGTAATGTAGGCAAAAATTAAATGAAGGATACTCTTCTGTTTATTTCAGGATCCAGTGGCTTTTATGCTTCTACTCCATTCAGGTTTGTTTTTTACTTTTAGAATTTTG